AAAAATGTGCTATTGTTATTGAGTGCCTTTGTGTCAGTTTCAACTACTAGTGACCCTGTATAACATTTTCGATGAGCTGACTGGTGAGTTTGAGCCCTGGACCTTGAAGTTTAAACTACTAGCGACCCTGTATAGCATTTTCAATGAGCTGACTGGTGAGTTTGAGCCCTGGACCTTGCAGTTTAAACTGACCTTGTCCTTTAACTACAAATTTTTGAAAAGGTTAATATATTAAACTTTACCATTGTACTATTATGTTAGAATAATTTTCTTTGAATTTAAGCTTATAGAAATGGGACGCCGTTCATCAGATACTGAAGAAGAAAGTAGAAGTAAGAGAAAAAAGAAACACCGGAGACGATCATCTTCAAGTAGTTCTTCAGACAGTAGAACATATCGAAAGAAAGGTGGAAGGAAATCAAGATCAAAGTCAAGATCTTGGTCTAGAGATCTTCAGTCTCGTTCACATTCTTATGACAGAAGGTGATTTTCATCATTTTAATTTATATGATACTTAATATTTTATATATTTTTGTACTTTTAATTTTGTTGGGTAAAAGTTAAACATTTAATATTTTTCAAAAAGTTTTATGTTCCTGAAAATACATAAGAATTCCACAGAAGAGAAGACTTGACAATCTGCTTCCATAAAAGTGATAGTCTAGAAAGTTCTATGGGGACAATTCATCTGTGTCATATAGGGTTGTCTTGATTTGAAATTGACTTGGTGACACACAACACTGAGCCCATGTGTTTAGTATCTTCACTTTTGTTTATTCTTTTTAGATATAAATTGATTTATTTCTCATATAATATTTGATAAAATTGAAAGGATTCTATGCTAGTTAAAATCTATACTGTCTTAATTACTAGTGAATCCTATTTAATTATGAATCATTCAACTGACTGTTCAGTAGTAGCAGTATTTTCATTTGTTTTTATTTGTTTCAAGGAAGGAAAGAAATGATCTCTAGTAACCTTCTATACATAATAAAAATAAAATGATCCTATAGAATATAGAAGAAATTTTTTTTGGGGGGGTCCATAATTAAAATTATTCATAACAATAATATTTGATTTATTTTTATTACAGACGCAGGCATAGATCAAGTAGTAGCTCTTCTTATGGCTCAAGAAGAAAACGAAGTCAAAGTCGTTCAAGGGGTCGAGGGAAATCCTACAGAGTTCAGAGGTCTAGGTCTAAAAGCAGAACAAGAAGGTATGCTATATCAAGTATTTTTAGCTTCGTAGCAAACTGTTTTGAATCTAATGACTTTAAGTGATAATCACTTAGTTCATGTTGATTTTACAATTTTGACTGTTTAACTGGCAGTTCAGTTCATATCATCTGGGATCAGTCATCCATGAAACCTTCTTTAGGAACTGTATGGTCCAGTGTGGCCTTATTCATATATATTTGGCAGTGGCGCAGACTGTTGGCTAGGCTGCCTCTGTTCTTCTGTATATGGCCTCTCATCCGCCAGTAGACTAGGCTGGACTTTTTCACATGATAATGGAAGCGTTTCAAGATGGTGAGAGCAGAAGTTGCAAAGGCTCTAAAGGTTTAGTCTCATAGATTGTGGTATCACTCATCTGTTCCTGGTTGTACACAAAGACCAATGTGGAGAAAATTGCACATTTTTAGCAAAGGTAGAAAATGGAGTTGAATAGAATGAGAGGACATGGTATTGAGAAGCTCAATAAAGGTAGCCATTCAGATGTTATTGAAGGTTTTTTATCATTAGGATGAAAACAGCATTTTAGGACGATCAGTTCTTTTTCTCTGCTTAGATAGTTCTGTATGGTACGTGGCTTTAATTGGGTGGCACATTAAAACCTGATTTTGTTATCTAGGTATGGAATTTTATAATTCTCTCTATAAATATAAAGTTAGGTAATAATGAAGTCCACATGTTTACCTTTTTGTTGTTGTTAGGTACCGTTAAGTCAGTTCTGAGTCATGGTGGCTGTATACACAACAGAGTGAAGTACTGCCTAGTCCTGCATAATCCTAACAGTTGTTATAATTCCACCTATTGCTGCTGCCACTGTGCAGTCCTATCTCACTGGGGGCCTTCCTCCTTTTGCTGACACTCCACTTTTCCAAGCATGATGTCCTTCTCCAGGGACTGGTTTCTCTTGATGATAGGTCTGAAGTATGAGAGATGGAGTCTTGCCATCCTGGCTTCTAAGTCTTGCCATTCTGGGTGTACTTCTTCTAACACAAATGTATTTATTTATCAGTCCATTGTACTTTAAATATTCTTCCAAAACCATAACTCAATTGCATAAATTTTTTCGTGGGGTCTTCCTTATTCACTGTCCAACTTGTGCATGCCTATGAGGCTATTGAAAATACTATGACTTGGGTCAGGGGCACCTTAGTCCTCAAACTAACATCTTTGCTCTTGAATATTTCAAAGAAGTCTTGTGCAGCAGATTTGCTTAGTCAGTATGTCAGTTAATTCTATGACTGTTTCTTCCATGAAGGTTTATAGTAGATACAGGAAAAATGAAGTCTTTGACAACTTAAATCTTTTCGCCATTTATCATGATGCCATTTATTAGATCAGTGATGAAGATTTTCAATATTCTCCTCCAGTACCATAACTCAAATGCATCCATTCTTTTTTGGGCTTCCTTATTCATTATCCAACTTTAACATGCATATGAGGCTATTGAAAATACCATGGCTTGGCCCAGGTACACCTTAGTCCTCAAACGAACATCTTTGCTCTTGAATACTTTAAAGAGATCTTGTGTAGCAGATTTGCCTAATGCAACACATCGTTTGATTTCTTGACTGCTGCTTCCATGAGTTGATGGTCGACCCGAGCAAAATGAAGTCTTTGACAGCTTCAGTTGTTTCTCCATTTATAGGGATGTTTTTTATTGGTCCAGTGGTGAAGAATTTTGTTTTCTTTACATTGAGGTGCAACCCATACCAAAGGTTGTTGTGTTTTTTGATCTTCATCAGTAAGTTTTTTTTTACATTCAGCAAACCATAGCCTTTCCCTCACTACATGGTTTCAATCCTCTCCATGTACCAACAGTTAGCAGTATTCACTTTAACTATTGCATTCCTCCCTGTATATTCCACCACTCATTCTTCCTTTGTTAACCTCCCTCTTGTTGTATATTGCCTGCCCTGTAACTCATAAATCGTCTTCCCCTCTTGCACCCTGTAATCATCATAGATTGTTTCTCAAGTATAAAGAACTGAAGAAGAAAACGCATGCCTCTACTTGAAATATTGAAGGATTACATTGGCAAAATAGTGAATGATGTAGAAAGCATCAAAACAAGATGAAAGGGATACACAGTCACTGTATCAAAAAGAAATGGGTGATGTTCAGCCATTTCAAGAGCTAGCATGTGATCAAGAACCAATGGTACTGAAGGAAGAAGTCTAAGGTGCATTGAAGGCATTGGCAAAGAAGAAGGCTCCAGGAATTGATGGAACACAAATTGAAATCTTTTTTGAAAGAGTTTCATTTTCTGCTGAGTAGTTTGGGTGCCTATGAAAAAGTGAATTAATTGTATGAATGTCTTCTGTATCCGGGCTCTCTGTTTGGTTCTATTGATCTGTTTTTGCATCATCTCCGTACTAACTTGATTCCTATACTTACATTTTTGTTAAGTGCCTTCAAGTCGATTCCGACCCATAGCGATCCTGTATAGGGTTTCCGAGGAGCAGCTGGTGAGCTTGAACTGCCAATCTTGCAGTTCAAATGGCTTTGCAGTCTGGCGCATTAACCCACAGCACCACACCAGCAGTTAAAATCATATGTTGTTTGCATTTCCATATACATTTTAGAATTTGCTTATTGGTTTCTTTAAAAAAAGCCTGCTTGGATTTTGATTGGGAGTGTACTGAATCAATGGAAATTGAGATTTGGCATCATAATAACATTGAGTCGTCTAATTCATGAACCTGGTTTATGGCACCATTTAGTTGGGTTTTCTTTTTACCCTTTCAATGTTAGGTAGTTATTCAGTAAAGTCTTACAAATCGTTCGTTAAATTTATTTTTATGATTTTCAATACTATTGAAATCTAATTATTTAAAATTTCATTTTCTAATTATTTAGTGCAAATATATAGAGCTCTAATTGTATGTTGCACACTTCATATACATTATATTTTGTATGTTGCATATTTTTTATATGTTGATTTGACTTGTATCTTTGCTTCTTTTACTATTTCTAATACAAGTTTTAAAGATATCTTAGGGTTTTGTTTGAAAACAATATATTATCTGAATATTGATATTGAGACAGGTTTACTTATCTATTTTTGAATTTTGTACTATATGTTTTGTTATTTTGACTCATTGCATGAGATAATCATTGACTTAGTTGATTTCTTAAAATTGTGCATTTTATTAATGCATATTGGTGTTATTAAGTGTTGTTTCTGACTCATAGTGACCTGGCATAGGGCTTCTGCAGAGTAGCTGGTGGGTTTGAATGTCCAACCTTTGGTTTGCAGTCCAGTGTTGATCCTACAGTGCCACACAAGTAATCTGTTACTACCTATCATAGGATATAATGTATATTCTCAGTAGAAACTTATAGTAATAATACTTTTACATTTCATTTATTGATGTTAGGTTCTTTTTTAGATTAATTATTCATATACTTCGGCTCCTGGTGTGATGCTATGGGATCAGTCCTGGACTGTGAACCACAGGGTTGATAGTTCAAACCCAGAAGCTGCTCCTTGGAAACCCTGTACAGAGGTCACTATGAATTGGAATCAACTCAAGGACATTAATAAAGACAATGACAACATTAACACATTTATGAGATCATTGGTATTTATCTAATTTATACACTTCAGTTGTACTCATGAGGAACCTGTACATAGACCAAGAGGCAGTCATTTAAACAGAACAAGGGGATATGGAATGGTTTTCAATCAGGAAGGGTATGCGCCAGGGTTGTCTCCTTCCACCATATTTATTCACTTTGTATGCTGAGCAAATAATCCCAGAAACTGATTTATATGAAAAAACATGGCATCAGGAATGGTGGAAGACTCATTAACAACCTGAAATATGCAGATGACAACATCTTGCTTGCTGGAAGTGAAGAGGATTTGAAATACTTACTGATGAACATCAAAGCCTGTAACGTTTAGTATGGATTGCACCTCAATGTAAAGAAAATAAAAATCCTCACAATTGAAACAATAAATAGCATCATGATAAATGGAGAAAAGATTAAAGTTGTCAAAGACTTCATTTTGCTTGGATTCACAATTAACTCTCATGGAAGCAGCAGTCAAGAAATCAAACAATGTATTGTATTAGGCAAATCTGCTGCAAAAGACCTCTTTAAAGTGTTAAAGCAAAGATGTCATTCTGAGGATTAAAGGGTGCCTGACACAGCCATGCTATTTACAGTCACCTCATATACATGTGAAAGTTGGACAGTGAATATGGAAGACCACTGGAAGTATTGATGTATTTGAATTAAGGTGTTGGAGAAGAATGTTGAAAGTACCATGGAAATCTAGAAGAGTAAACAAATTTGTGTTGGAAGAAATATAGCCTGAGTGCCTCATAGAAACGAGGATGGCCAGACCTTGTCTCTCATACTTTGGACATGTCAGGAGGGACCAGTCCCTGGAGAAAGACAGCATGTTTGGTAAAGTGGGGGGTCGTTGACAAAGAGGAAGACACCCAAGGAGATGGATTGACACAGTGGCAGCCACAACAGGCTTAAACATAACAACAATTGTGAGGACTGCGCAGGTCCTAGCACTGTATGTTTTATTGTGCATGGGGATGAGGCATATCCAACTCTACCACCTAAACAACAGTTTATACATTTCTTACTATATGTACACCATTTTGCTCTATTAAAATAAGGAACGCAATTTGAAAGGAGCCATTTCTTTGATGAGTAGTTTTGTTTCATTTTCTATTTTACTTATTCTGAAAATATTTCTGTTTTATGTACATAAATATTGCCATATTCCTTTATCTCTTGATTTGGAAATTAGCATAAATTTTAAGGAATTAATGAATTCTAAAACTTATTTTGTGTTCCATAAGGTATGGTGTTTTAATTACCTTATCTCTGTGATTTCTTTTCCTTTAATGTTATTTCAGTTGAGATATTTGGTTTTCCACCCATGAGAAACACTTAAATGGGGCGATAAGGTACATATTTTATGTGCACAAATAGGAAACAGACACTGAATAAGATCATT